TTGAATTACATGTATTATTGCATATCACAAGCGCCGAAGGCAATGAGGGTCTTGTCTTTGACCCAACGCGACACTTGGCCTGTCTGCACGCACGCCGAAGGCCTTGCCTATTGCATAGAATGTCTTGGCAGGGCAAGTGCAGCCTCGTAAGCTTGAATTACTTTGACTTTGAAGCGTAAGGATATGACCTTGCGCTTCCCTGTATTGGAGCGGCTACGTGGTGGTTCTGCAGTCATTTAGCCTGTGACGTGTATGTCGTGCACTCTGAATAAATGTGAAACCGCGCGAAACATTTTGTCCAATTATAGTTATTCAAATGCGCGGAAACAGTAGTGGTATATATTTTAGCTTTACCATTGAGTTGTAACTATTTCGGAAACATTTTGGGGGTTACAGATGTACAGTAAATTCGGTAGTTCGGCGAACTTGACAACTTTTGCATTTGTTTTACTCTTAGCGTAAGTTTACTTAAACTAACTACGCTAAAAATACTCCAATTTGTGGTCAAATTGGAGTCATACAGTAGGGTAGTAGAGTTTTCTTCGCTCGATAACTGTATACTAGTACTACTACACCATTTCCCATTCAGGTTGAAATGAATTTCCAGTCAATATGAAATGTCTGCAAGCGTATAAATTTTGACGAGCGAAGAGATGTGCAAATCTACAGTTCAAAATGAAAAGTGTTCCAATCAAAGTGAAATACGGCAAGCGGGAAAGATAGGCGCGAAAGAAAAAATGAAAATGACATCCTTATTGTCGATTTGATACAAATTTGGGGAGGGGGTGCAATCGAATCGCGTCCAACCAAACCGATCCACAATCGATCTGATTGGTTGAATTTCATTTAGAAGGTTTTGATTGGTTAATACGTTTGAGATGACCTGAAGTAGCCAATCAATATTCAACATTACAGCCGAAGTTTTGTCCAATCAAACAATTTCGTTGATATTCTTGGTTTTGATTGGATATATTTCTATTATCCCGCCCGCACGCAATTCAATAATTTCTAACCAATACTATTCAATGGCTCGCATCATGTACCCGATAGCCTTCAAGCTCCAGGCCCTGGGTCTCCTTGAGACAATGAGCGTATATCAGGTCGCTACTGAACTTGGTGTCGCCCGTCGAACTCTGCAAAACTGGGTCATCCTTGTCTACAGAGGCAACAAGAAGCGCATGAAACTCACACCTGGCGGCCGACCCGAGGTGTTTCCGGACCCACCTGGGTTGCTTGAGTTTATCCATGGATTACGGGACTCTGAACGAGCCCTTACTACGATCCATATGGTGACGTGGGTGAAGCGCAATCAACGCGAATGGCTTGTGTCGTACTTGATGGACAAATAGCCAGAATTTGGGTACAACTCACTGCTCCTTCTGCTACAACGCTTTTGAAAACGTCATGGCATCTCGCGACAACGACCTGGCATGAGTAAACGAAGCCAAGGGGATCTCGAGGACACTCATGACATCTTTGCAGCTGAATTCCACCGTGAGTACCGCGCACATGGAGCGGAGAGCGTGTACAATGTGGATGAGACAGGTATATATTATGATATGCCACCTAACTACATTTGGGCTGTCCGTGGTGGCAGCTCCAAGATATCCTCAGGAGAGAAGCATTCGATGCGAATGATGGCTGTCTTGACCGCGAAGGCGGATGGGACCAAACTCCCGATCCTGTTCATCATGAAAGGGGCGCCTGGTGGCCGAATCGAAACTATGTAGTCTAAGAAAAAGCGTGGATGGACGGCCGTGTGTGGAAGTCCTACCTGTGCACCGTCTTGCACGACCATATCGAAGAAGCGTCAGTGATCCTTGTCGACAACTTCGACTCGCACGTG